GTGTTGAAAATAAGACTGGAACAATGATAAAACAATTGAAATTATGGTTTTTAAACCGAAATTGGGATTCATTTTCGAATCTTCAAACCTTCCTTGATTTCAAACGACGAGATTTTTTAGAACTTCATTTAATATTTTCAATATGCAAGATATTTTTCGCTTCAATTACAACTAAAAATTGGATTCGAAATCAAACTTGAATATAAACTAAAAAAGAACGATAGGAATTTCATCTATATGAAACGTATTTTCGTCAGGGTTACTGCACTCCGCTCTTGTCAGTGCCATGTCCATGGATCAAGGTCATCTTTTTGGTATTGATCATTCTATCCTTTCTTTATGACTATTACTAACTCTTCTACTGTTCTTAATGGTACCATTTTCTAATCGGGTATGAATATCTGCGATATGGTAGTTTTATCGTAGTTCTTGCAAGTTGTACCAGGACCATTGCAGTAGAACTAGTATTTGAACTAGTATTGTACAGAACTAGTATTTTTTCAATGTTTTTGTAATCAATTGTTCGGTCTGTAGGTAGTACCTATTAGCATTTTCGTTCTCCTCCTTATTTGTTATTTAAGAGGATCTGGTATACTCCTATTAGATATGAAGAATAAAAACTACTTCTGTTTGAAGTAGCTTTTCTTCATACCTAATGCACTATATGCACTATTTGTTATGTTCTTCCTTAATAATTACGTTTCTAATGTCCTGTGAAAAGTTCTTTACTTTTCTGTTTGTTGTTAGTATGTGTCATACTATACATTGAGCACAAAAAATTTTTGTAAAACTCTTTGCCTACCTATGGAGATTTTTTAAATCATCCTGTATTATATGTTTAAAATGCCTCCACCCAAAAACAAACTAAGGTTTAATTAAAGTTTTCAGTTAATACCACATCATTTAATTTTAATGAAATTAATGCTGTAAAAATTCGAAAATTTCATGTCAATATTTCTTACATTTCGATAACGATTGATGTTGAACTTATTCCGACATCATCGCAAATCCGGGCTGCAGTTTTTAATCATATTTTAAATTTATTCAATTTAAAATATATACTGTCCGTCTAAAATTAGTAGTGTATTGCCCCTGTACATCATACATTTCCTGATAACAACAGAGTCATTCCGATCATCTATCTAACTCCGTTCTGGAGAAAATTTTTGAATTGAAATAACGTGACTTTTGGTCCAAACCGGAAGTTTAAATGTAGTTATTCGAGACCTCCTTTCCCTTAGCTTTCCATATCCGGTCTCATCTTTCATCTATCTGATTCCGTTCTTGAGATTAAGGAAGGACGGACAGACCACAGATGGATGCTAGTGGGAATTTATATGTATGAAATTTGAAAATTGCATTTCAGTTAAATTGTTATAATTTTTGTATCTGTTTCGATGAAACTATGAGAGATAAATTGAAAGTTTATCTTCAATTTTTAAACTAAAAATTTGCATAAATTACACGATAGAGAATAATTTTATATATAAACAAAATATAAAACACACAAGAACTTTTACTATATATTTTCAATACGAGCTTAAAATAAATATAAAATTATATTACTGTATTATGGTTAAATAATTAAAATCATTAAAATTATACACGTATTAAACTTATATTTATTTTTACATTTTAATTTTTATTAGAAAACGTCCTTGCTTCATAAATTTACCTGGATCAGATTGTGACAACATGGATATTGCTGGATTGGCTAAAGATCAAGGACATTGGGCTGGTGCCTTGAGTCCTGGAAAGAAGAGAAGGTTTGTATGTTTTTACCCCTCTTTCCTCTCCTCTTGACCACTGAAAAGTCTTTTTATTCATACCTGTCATGAGTTCCTCCTGCTACCATCCCTGCCATCCTCATTGCATAAAGAGCAGAAGTGGCGAAGAACGATAACCCAACATACTCAAATCAAATAAACTTGAACCTGTGTTTCTCCAGAACGACTAGCTCATACTTTATGCCGCCCTTCATGATCATAATTAATAATAAATAAATATAGCTAGATAGATAAAGAAAATAATAAATTTATTCATCCATATTTCGGTATTCATTTATTATTTTAATGATGATAATGACTTATTTTAATAAGGACAAAATTATATAGAGGATGGTATGACATAATTAATATATCTTGTGATTACATACAGAATGTTTATGGAAAAGTGTTGGAGATTGTTTTCTCGTCAAACACGTATAGCAAGCAGATCGACTGTTTTCTGAAATAACAATATAAATTCCTGCAAATATTATTGTGTAAAACCATCAATTATTACTTTTCATAATATACATGAGGCAAAATAATTGATGAATTTTCGAATATTATTTAACCAGTAACATGGTCTTGATTACTTATGATACTTGTTATCAGCTGAGTAACTGGAAGCACGGTAATTTTAATAGAAATTAAGGTATTTCTTTCAATTTTTACTCACTCGTCTCCTGTTACAGCAAGATAATAAATCCCGGCGTTATATACGTTTTAAAAATAAACCCCTCGAAATTTAATCCAGAAAATATGATATTTTGTTAGCTATAAAATTACCTATAATATTTACGAGAAAACAAACAGATTGCTTTCCACGGACATTTTGTAAATCGATTATTTGTTTAAATGTTCTAACAGGAAACGTCCTTGTTCTTTTAACTTACCTGGAACGAGTTGCGATAATTCTGAAATGATTGGCACAGGTAAAGATACTGGGCACNATATTAAAGGGAAGAATCATTAAATGAGTCTATCATTTAAATTCCAGTCTAAAAAAACTCATTTAAATGTTAAACATAATTAAAATAAAAGGTTAACAAATAATTTAATATTTAAATATTAAAACATTAAAGATAAAATTAAATTATGTAGAAAATTCTTTAAAATATTTTTCAGAAGAGCACAATTATTAAATAAATTAGAAGAAACTTTAATTATATCATATTAAATACAGTATATTTATAAATGCAATTTAGCCAATTAAATGCACAAACAGCTTATTAAGATATAATTATGCTTAACAAAATAGTCAAATAAATTATTATTATAAGCTATGTATTTCTTTGATATAATATGTAAATTTAATTCAAAAACGATATTAATATAAACTATTACCCATAAAATTATCATACTATGAAAGAATATAGCAATGTAAACACCATTTAATTTAATTATACATTAAATACCATTTTACTTAACAGTTTAATGCTGTTATAATGATTATAATGAATTTAAATATTAATTATATTAAAATTCTTTTATATTATTGTAGAAGACAATAATTATTATTGATATTTAAAAATATTAAGTTTATTTTAATAGAAGGTAATTACTAATTTATGCTGTTAAATATATTAATTCTGAGTTTATTTTCATATTTAAAATCATCAATTTTAATTTAAAAACTAAGTTGAAATAATGTGCTTTGTGTAAAATAGGAAGATAGAAAAACTTAGGACCAAATTTGCATTATGAGTCTGTAGCTTAGGGCTTAATATTTTTTAATATCTATCACTATTTAATGGCAGGTGACTAGCAGAAGTGAATTTGCATACCTGGCTGTTATGCATCCTGCTATTAACATCCCAAGATTGTCAGCTTGTTTGCAATGATGCTGTTTGGGAATGGATGACAATGTGTTTAAGTGCTGAGGACTACTGGTTAATATTTCAACCCCAAATATACTATTGAATGACACACTTCCTCTACCGCTGGTTTGCTATTGACAAAAGCCATCTTGTATGACAGTTGATCACCCTAGTAGTGATTTGAGGGACATTGATGGCAGAGTAGTATGTTCTGTGTCCTCATGTGTTGCCTCTCATGGCAAGACTGCAAACAACTATTTTCTAGCAAGATAAAGTCAGCCACATACAATAAAAATTTTCCAGAAATGTCTCTATCATGTATATAACAGACCTTTCTTTATTGTGTGAAGGGAAATTATTTGTTATATGTTACAGTTTATGGTCATAACAAGTTTAATAATGAATATTATATATTAAATTTTAGAATTTGGAACATTTATTTTTTATATTACTTACATAAATAAATAAAACAAAAATATTTAAAAGAGTTTTAATTACAGAAAATAAGTTTTAGTCCCATAAAAACTTATTGATTTAGTGTAAGTTATATATAGATAAGTCTTGTAAACTTTCTTTCTTACCAAAAAAAACAATTATTTTATCAGTTTCTTACAAAAATATTTTGGTAAAGGTGCAATAATATTGTTTACTTTTAATGTTATAAAATGTTTAATTTATATACAATGATGATTTATTTACTTTTAAAATATTTAATTATTTGCATGCATTCTTCAAATTACATTAAGTAATCAAGTTTAATCTTGTTAATTTTTATTTTTAAAGAAGTTTGTTAAAGTTTAATGAAAAATATAAATGTTTAGTAAATTTTTATTTAAACTTCTTAAAATTTTAGCTTATTTTTAAATAAAAACTATAAATATTGATTAAAATGTATATATTTTAGCCCTTAAAACTTTTGTTTTTAAATTAAACATGTTATAAAAAACAAAAAAAGAATTATATAATTAAATATTTAAGAAAAGTATTTACTGTTATTATTAAATGGTGGCAAGAGAGAGACATAAAATAAATCTATATTTATATTTTAAGGAGGAAAATTTCTGGTTTTATTTCATGTAAAGAGTTATTTTGTTGAAGATAAGAATCATAAAAATAAATTCAAAGTTTAAGTTATTATTTTTTTCTGCTATTTTCTAGAACCATAGAAATAAATTATTCACATTATTATTATCAATTTCTTTGGTTCATATTAAATTGTTCAAATTTATTTCTTTCCTAGAAGCTATAATTCTGACTATTAAAAAATTAATTTAATAACAATTAATTTTAACATTAAGAAAAGTGTAATATATATATATATATATATATATATATANAGAGGATTCGTACAACTCCCTACCATCCAGCTGCTAATGGACAAGTAGAGCGGTTTCATCGCCAACTTAAAGCTGCAATAATGGCCCATTCCACCAGCCGTTGGACTGTCGCACTCCCGACAGTACTCTTAGGATTTAGAGCCGTGTGGAAGGACGACATACAGGCGACAGCAGCAGAGATGCTCTACGGAGCCTCTTTACGGATCCCAGGTGAATTTCTCTCTCCAACACAGGACCATCCCGACCCGGCGACCTTCGTCGGCAGGCTGAGAGAGGAAATGCACAAACTCAAACCCGTCACACGTCCACACAGAAATGCTGCAGTGTTCGTGCACAAAGACCTTTCCTCCTGTGCACACGTCTTTCTAAGAACTGACACAGTCCGAAGAGGACTGCAACCACCTTACGAAGGCCCATACCGTGTGTTAAAGCGTGGACCCAAAAACTTCAAACTGGAAGTAAAAAAGCGTCATATCACTGTCAACATCGATAGACTCAAACCCGCATACATATGTGCGGATGACTCAACGTTCTCCCCATCTACATCAACAACAGCTTCAGCAGAAACAGCAACAACAGGGGCAACAACAACGGTACCCCCAGCAGAAGCTTCGCCACAGCAACAGAAAACTGTCACACGCGCAGGTCGTTGTGTAAAATTTAACCCCAGGTATTTGTAAATATCTCGCTATCGCTGGCGGGGGACTACTGTTGCGGTCGCGAACTACTTTCTATCGCGAACTAAATAGTCAACATTTTCTGTAGAGCGGTAATTTGCCCGGAGCGTTAGCCGATGAACTACTTCTGGACTAGCTGCCGAGACGACCAGTCGACCTTGCGCTACGTTCCACGAACTGTGATACCGCTCGTTAAAAAAACATTGTAAGATGGAGTTAGAATTTAACCTGCTAGTTAATAAAAGTGTCATGTTTTTACGTTATGTCGATCGATTTACTTTAATCGGTAAGTTGGGATCAACCCGACATTGGTGATCCCGACACAGTAATAAACAAATGATACTAACAGATTTTAATTGAGCTATAATATGACTAATTAATTATAAAGATATTACTTGTTTGGAATAAAGGTAGGTTGTTAAGCCAGGTTAAGTCCCATTCTGAATTGATCTTTTTTTTCAGAATAATCTAAATTAATTCATTTATTTCGAATTATTAAATTTAATACAAGATGTTGACTTAACCATATATCTTTTAAGACCAAATTAGGTAATTTGTTTATTATTAATTAGCCATATTAAAATTTGATTAAAATCTGGTAATATTGTTTGTTTATTATACTAACTCTGTTGTTATTCATCATCATATGAAAGTTCACAGTATCTTAACAAAATAATAATTATTTACTATCATTAAGAATAAAACCAACCAAAGTTGATTTTTTACATGAAATGAGTTTTATGCAGACTCGGATTTACACGTAAATTACGCCAATCTACAGTTTAAGGCCTCACACTTGCAAAATTACTATTATTTTATAGAGGGTGCCCACCAATGATTGAATGGATAAAGCCACCGAACACTGGTACTTGACCCGGTTTTGACGCCCAACCAATGGACTACACGTGATTTTCTTCATCTGTCAAACACCTAAACAAGGACTTTTCCTATATAAAGTAATCTCAGGAGGCTTATGCTTATTTAAAGAGAGAGTAAAGCTAGAAAGGAGTGAAGACAGAGCAATCTCATATAGATGAAGATGAGCTAAAGAAGTAAGAATGAAGAGAGATCTCTTGTAGCATATAACACAGGACCACAATAATGTATGTGTGTGTTTCTTTTTTTTTCTATTAGCAAAGTATCACTTTAAATAGAAATAATATATGTAATTCTATAACATAAACAATCATTTGATCTAAATTTATGTTGGAATATTCTATTATAACTCCAAATCGCTCAAGGTTAAAACAAATATATATAATATTATTTTAAATTCGAAAAAATAAATTTTTTTTTTAATATTTTTGTTGAAATAGAAAAGATAAAATGAAGCGAATTCTATTTGTAATCCAATCAAGGATAACAAATTGAATATCTTTTTAGATAGGGCCCGCTTTTATTTGTAACTCTATCCATTCTTTCTGGAGAATAATCTAAAAATCATTGTTTACGCTATCAGTAAATTGATACAATGTTTGATTACTTTCTGTCAAGGATTCTAATAATTGTTTGGGGTATATTCTATTATATCTTTTATCTTGGGCTACTTTCGGATTTAACGGAGTTTGGTGATAACTTGTATGAAAGGAAACTATCGCTTTTTTCATACAAAATGTGAATAAGACAGCTGCATGCAGGAATCTAACAATTTCTACCTTTTTTATTTCTTTCTTTCTTTCTTTTTTCCTCTGATTATTCCGGAAACTCATTACGTAAACAGATTACATCAGGATTTTTAAGAGTTTTCCTCATCAGAAAATCGTTATTTAGTATCTAATAATGGATATACAACTCTTAAAATAGCAAAAATTCTTAATAAGTTGTATTAAATGTCCATATATTTCACTTAATTATATTTTCTTCCTTTTAACTAAACTTTCCATTGTGACGTTGCCTGACATACNCAAATTGTTCTAAAAATAGTTAATTATTGTATTTTTAAAAATTAATTTTGACTATAATTCTTGGATATTTCGACAATTTTTTCAAGTTTTGAATATTTTTTTAAGTTATAAGCCTTACACTAATTTAATATGGAGGTGTTAAATAACTCATCACAAGATATGGAATTAAGTAATTTTGTTATTAATTTCTGTTTTTTCTTACAGGTTTGTTATAAATTTCGATAGATGTAAGCCCTCCCGAAAAACTGAATATTCTTTAGGCCTATAGATAAAGGTATTGACTCGAAACGGAATTTGAACCCGCAATTGGGTGTAAAAAATTCCTGCTGTTAAATAAACAGAATTTATTAATAATTAACTCTAAACAATATAATATTTTTACTATTTATCTCATTGTAGAGGATTGTAAAATTAGTTAAATAGTATCGTAAACTATCCCTTCAATAACTTCTAATTGTAAAGGGCACACCAGTGTCCAAGTGGATAAAACCACTGGTCGTGGGTTCGCACCTGGTTGACCATGTGGATTTTCTTCACGTTCGTAACATCTAAATAGAGACCAGTTTTTAATAGAAATTCCTATCTGGTGGTATCCCCTCGAGGCAGATCGCCCACGTGTCGCGCTGTCGTATACAAACAAAACATGAAAAAAAAACACTACAGTAATTGTAATGAGTAAATAATTTAAAATAAGAATAAAACAGAAACTTGCTTATTGAACGATCTTTAGTATTTAATTATAACAGGTACATCGTTTTTAGATTCACGTGTATCATTTTATTTTACAATAATAACGATCACCCCTCACCACCACATTCATCAAATCTCGTAACCATAAATATACAGTGGTTAAAAGTCATCCTCAAACATTATACAATATACAGGAAGAGTAATTTTTGGGGGGACCAAAAACAAACAAACAAAAAAAAATCCACAAAAGTATAATCACATCAGTTCAAATTATCCCGAAATTTATCCTTAAGCATAAGAGAGATTTTTGGTCGATAAGAGTTATAATCCTTGTCTCTATCCTGATACTTTTTCATCCATCTTGAAAATGGTTGAAATGTATTAACAAATGACTTCTTTGGTGTTTCGTTCATCATTCTCTTTCCGAATCTCATGGGAATTCTGAAGCGGCACCTTTGACAGTTTTCGAATCCTCCTCTTTGACAAAGAGCCAAACAACGTGAGGGTTGTCCATTGCTCTTCGATATATTCAACATTATTATAAGTAGATTAAGCATGATTATCGAATGGTAAATCTTACGAATGCGCATTTTCATTGTCTGAATCTGGAATATATATATATANTCAGGTCTGGATTTTGTTAAAATTAATTAATTTGTATTAAATGATATTTATTGTTATTTATTATGAATCATCATAAATTCTTTAAATGAAGAATGGGAATATTATTTATTCAATTCTTTGTTAGGTAGCTATACATTTATACACAGGAAAGAACAGAGGAGGGGGGTCATGAATTGGTTTGCACATAAAATTAATTTTGTAAATAATTTATACACGTATAAAGCGTGTTTAATTTATTTATACTTATTTAAGTGTTAGAAAATCGCCTGAATTAAATATTAACAGAAATTTCTCACGCATTTATCTTAAATGTTCGGTTAAAGACCCCCCCCGTGCTTTCTTCTTAATACCTGATTACGTTACCGTACATTTATAGTTTTAAAATGGAAAAATTTCTAGAATTGTATATATAAAAATTCTAGAATTATACAAAATCAATTCGAGTGATTCATATATTATTTATCCGTATCATAATCGAAGTCATACTTTTTATTAAATTTATCAAAATAATGAGCAATTATTTACTGTGACATGGTGACAATCAGCTGCAATTTTTAATCATATTTTTAATTTATTTAATTTAAAATATATGCTCTCCATCTCAAATTATTAGTCTTGCCCCTGTACATCATACTTTTCCTGATAACAACAGAGTCATGCGATCATTCATGTAACTCCGTTCTGGAAAATATTTTTGAATTGAAATCACGTGACTTCCTGTTTGTATAGAGGAAGTTTGTATATAGTTAACCCCTAAGCTTTTCATATCCGGTCTCGACTTTTATCTAATGCCGTTCTTGAGATTAAGGACAGTGTGGGAATTTATAGGTGTAAAATTTTTTCAGATTAAAGCTCAATGAAAAAAAAATGGAGAAATGAATTTATAAATTAATTATATTTATTGTAAATTTAAATTGTACACGCTCGCAGACTAATAATAAAGTATAGTAAAGTTAAACTTTAAGTCAATTTAGATGTATGAAGGGGTAGTCTATCTTAACTTTTTGATAGTTTATACTGTAAAGTAGCAGTTATTTTTTGTTACTTTATCAATTATTTATTTATACGCATCTATTATTTAATCTGTTTGCAACGATTTTACAGCGGAATACATTAGTATGATGGAATAATTAATGAAATGTATATAAGGGTTTTAGCAGTGAATATGATTCAATTCAGCAATTGGCTATGAAATGAAATTGCTCTCTCTCTCTCTGAGAAATACGTTTATATCGTATTTTTATTTAAAATTTTCTTTGGCCTTTTGTCAGTTCTGAGAATCAATTTGATTATCGTGTATTGCTTTTTATATTCAATAGGCTCCTAGTATTTATATTTGTAATTTAACTGAAGATTTCGTAAAGTTCGCTTGTTTCATAAGTCAAATTCAATTTAACTGATTGTTCTTTTGTGATACAATGTAGCGAAAATATAAATAAATTTAATAAAAAATAACACTTTTTTTTATTACTTCACTCTGTATATACATATATAAAATCTTTGATATAAAGGTAGATAATGTATCCAAAATGCTTAAATTTTATTGAAAAATATAATAATAGCTTTCTTTATTTTATGAAGAATAAACAAATTTAATGATACAGTCGAAAACCTGCAATAAACAGCGGCCATTTTCTCTGTTTTAATAAAATAACCTTTGAACAACCCCCAGACGAAACGAGTTTGACTATTTTATTTGTTATTTTTTAAAGAATTTCTATATGTAGATAGTTCATTACGATTAAAATCTTTGATTTATACGCGTAGAAAACGTATACCAAAAGC